GCGTTTCAGCCCTGACAGCCTCGATGCACCTCAACAGCGCCTCAAACGTCTCTGAACTGTTGACTCCGTGATCGGGCCAGCTCTTGAGGTGCAGCTGGGTCACGCTGTGGGCGCGCACTGCATCTCGGCCTCGGCCTTCCGCAGGATTTGCGCCGTCGGCGTTGGCGTTGCTGCTGACAGGTGCGGGTCGAGGGCAGAGGCTCAAGACGCGCTTGACCAAGTCGATGTCCTGCAAGCTGCTGTTGTTGCTGCTGTTGCTCCTGCTGCTGCTGCTGGCGCCACTGCTGGATGGCTGACCATTTGTGCGCCCACTGGCCAGCAGCTGTTGAAGGTGAGCGCTGCTTATTCGCTCTTCTGATTCGGTGGCCACATGCCACTCCCACGAGCGTGACCAGTCCCAATCGCGATGGCGATGGCGATCATCGGGATGGAGTGCAGGGGCAGTGTGGGAGGATGAGGATGAGGATGCGGATGCGGATGCGGATGCGGGGTGAGGTACGTTGTATGACTTGTTGACCGATGGCCAGTAAGCATCGGCCTTGCGCTTGCCATTCTCGATGAGGGGTGTGAGGTTGATGATGAGAGAAATGTTGTTGTAGACGAGCGCAGAGTAGAAGGCGTCGAGAGTGTGGGGTAAGGGTGCTTGGGATGCGATGTAGGCGGGGATATGAGTGCGGCCGGCGTCAGCGTGCTCGTGCTCGTGCTCGTGCTCGTGCTCCTTGCTGGTGCGGCAGTCTGAGTGCAGAGGTAAAGGGGAGATGCGAGATGCGTTGAGGTAGGCTGCTGATCCAGGCAGTGCCAGCAACGAGTGATCATCTGCCCATGCAGCGAGGCGCGCGCGGGTGAGCAAAGGCAAAGGAGAAAGCCGCGGATGTTTGGGCACATGTGCGCCACAAGCACAACTCACACGGCAGCACATCCGCCCATCGATTGTCATCACAATGAATGCGAGCCTGTGTCAGTGTGGGTTGTTTGCTGCTGCTGCTGCTGCTACCACCGCTGCCACCGCTACCACCGCTGCCACCGCTGCCACCCGCATCCGAGCGCGCTGCTGCCCCATCCCCCCATCCCTTCGACGCGGCGTGCCACTTGTGGGAATCGCGCTGATCAAAGGTGCGCAGAATGGAGCAGAGATGTTGATGAGGGGGCGAGGAGGGTGGTGCGAGGCGGGGCAGAGTGAGGGTGGAAGCAGGGCCAGATGAAAGGGCTGATGTGTGCGTCGACATGGCTTGATTGCGCGCGCTGCCAGGTGGGAGGTGGGAGTGGATGTGAGTTGGTCAGAGTCAGAGTCAGAGTCAGAGTCAGAGTCAGAGTCGCAGTCACAGTGGGTAAGGGAGCAAAGGATGGCTGAATGGCAAGAATGAGGATGAGTGGGGTGAGGTGATGTTGGTGTGTACGGGCAAAGCAGAGCCAGTGTGAGTGAGAGCAGACGGGGCGCGTGTCGGCATCTGCTGTTGTGCATCGCGCGCCAGTCACGAGTCGCCAGTGTGAGTGTGACACGTCCTTGATTCAAGTAGCGAATGTGAATGGCGAATCCATGCAGATGCGCGCCAATTTGAATCGCCCACATACAGTCACAGTCACGCGAGCACCATACACCGCCGAGAGCAAACGCAAACGCAAGCCAAAACGCAAGCCACAACAACGGGCTTACCGCTGCTGTTGACATCTGCACGCGAGCATGCATGCCCGCGCGCCTGCAGACGATCGAGCTTCTCGCACGAGAGCACACAGGCAGGCAAGGCTTGTGGAGCAGTCACAGTGTGAGTGCGTGAAGTTGGATGATGATTTGTTGATATTTTTGCCTTTTTATTTGATTTTTGATTTGATTGCCATCGCCACGTGATTCTTTTCGTGTTTTCCTTGCATTTGAGTCGCGATTTGCATTCACATTCACTTTCACATTCACTTTCACATTCACATTCACATTCACTCTCACGAGTCGAAATCGCAGTCAGCGTCATCGTCATCGTCATCGTCATCGTCATCGTCATCGCCATGGCTCGCTCATACGATGCGCCCAGCTTGCCTCAGCAGTTGATCTGCTACACACTCACACCACCTCCCTCCACCGCCGCAAGCAGCAGCAGCAGCAGCAGCACCGCATCCACCGCATCCACCGCCGCACCATCTGTGCTGTCCATCATCGACTTGGCAGTGGCCAATCCTCACTCTGCACTGCTCTCTCTGCGCACCCCAGTGCCATCCCCCCGCAACGGCACCCTCACCCTGCTCTCGCCCTCTGCCTCTGCCTCCTCCGCAACCTTACTGCACGCCGATGCTCATCGAGGATTGGTGCACGCGCATCGTCTCAATGCGCCCTCGCTGCAAGCCAGGCTGATGCCACCCGCACCCATCGCTTGCCTATGCGCCTCTCCCGACGGCAGCTATCTTGCTGCATCGTCTGCGCTGGATGGGCAGCTTTGGATCTGGAGCACGCTCACCTCCTCCTCTCGGTCCGCAGCCAGCGCTGCTACCAGTGCAAGCGAGTTGGAAGTGGAACTGGTGGCCAGCTGGCAGGCCGCATACAGGCCCATCGACTGCATCACCTGGTCCCACGATTCCTGCGCATTGATCACCGCTGGGCAAGACAGCAGAATCTCGGTTTGGCACGTGGCAAAGTGA